TGTGCTTTCTGGATGTCCCCATATGTCATTAAAGGATTGTTTACCTGGTGAATGACTAATTGCCTCAATACTGTCTGTGCTAATTGGGTTTTGTTTGTATGGTGATGACACTGAAAATCTACTCTTAGCCAAGTTGAAAAGACTGTGGTCACCACAGTGATGCACTGCAGCTTTCTGGTTGTATCCCCAAATGATGGGATCACAGGCATGAGCCACTATGCCCTGATTCATTTTGGCTTATTATTATTGTTGCTATTGGTGTTGTTTTTGGAGATTGTCCTGTGCAACCCAGGCTGGCCTCCAACTCCCTATATAACCAACAATGACCTTGACCTTCTGCTCCTCCTGCCTCGACCTCCTTTTTAGTCTTGGGGGTCACAGGTGTGAGCCACCTAGCTTGAGTTCAGTTTCTTGGGTATCACCCTACTTGAGATCACTGTGGAGTGTTTGAGGTAGTTTCCTCCAGGCCCTTGTGTAGAATTCAGGGGCTCCTGCCAAGAGCTCTCCATTCCACCTGCTGAGTCCCAAGAGCTGTCTCATGTTTCCAGGATCCTTGTGCTCAAACAGAGCCTGAAACATTTTCTGTGGTTTCTCTAAGTGCCCTCTGGACCGTGTAGCTGCATCCAGCATGTTGGCTGGCAGTTCCTTAAAGCTGGTATTTGCATCCTGGGTAGAGGATGGGGTTCATCAAAGGACACAATTACAGAGCAGAGAGGATTTCTCACAGGAACACTTTCTTCCTTGGTCTCCCTGACTCTGCCCCTTTGCACTTCTCCTGTGTGCTTGAATAAAAACTGTCAGTTTTATTCTACAGCCACCTTTTCTTGCCACATCTATATATTCCAGAGTTACCTTTCTTCAGCTCTCTCTCTCTCTCTCTCTCTCTCTCTCTCTCTCTCTCTCTGTGTGTGTGCGTGCGTGCGTGCGTGCGTGCGTGTATGTGTGTGTGTGTGTGTGTGTGTACTGACCATGCCATTGCATTTATAGCATAGGGACAAGTAGAGACCTGAGGACAAACTTCAGGAGCCTATTTTCACTTTCCACCTCATTGCAGCAGGGCCTGCCTTGTTTCTGTTGTGCAGAGCAGCACCCCAGGCTAGTTAGCCTGAAAGTTTCTGACCCATTCTCCCTTCTGCCTCCTGTCCTGCTTGGGGATGTGCACCACCACTTCCAGCTTCTAACATGTGTTCTAGGGACGGAACTGAGGTCATCAAATGCATGTGACAAGCGTGTTTATTCACTGAGCCTTCTCTTCAGTTTCAACCACAATTTCTAGAGGAAATAGCCTGGGATCCTGGAGAAATGGCTCAGCATAGAAGCACTTATCGCTCTTGCAGATAACACAGGCTTGGTTCTCAGCACCCATGTGACCCACAATCATGTATGATTGTGTCATACATGTAACATACATGTAGCATATATGTAACATACATGTGTCATACATGTAGCATACATGTAACATGTAACCCCAGTTACAGAGAACCTGACACCCTCTCTGACCTCTGTGGGCATTAAGCACAAAGTGCACATACATACATACATACATACATACATACATACATACATACATACATGTAAAAGAAAATAAAGTGTGTGTGTGTGTGTGTGTGTGTGTGTGAGAGAGAGAGAGAGAGAGAGGGCAGTGGCTGCAACTTCCCATCCTTCAGTGAGACTGTGAAGTCATGCTGGGAGGCAGCACCACCTACTGTCCACACAGAAACATGTTGGAGAAAGCATGTCATTGGGGGCAGACTGTGTGGGTTTCAAAGCCCATGCTATCGCCATTCCCATTCTCTGCCTTGTGGTTGTTGTCTCAACATATTAGCTGGAAGCTGCTTCTCCAATGCCATGCCCACCTGCCTGCAGCCATGGTCCCTGACATAATGGTTATGGACAACCCTCTGAAACTGTAAGCAAGTCGCTAGTTAAATACTTTTTTTTAATGAAAACAAACAAACAAACATTTATCTGAAGGAGCCACTCAGCTTATTCATTTTGGGCAGAGTTTCAGGTAACCCAGGCTTGAATAAGGTACACTGAACTTGAGTTGATGAAGTCACATCCAAGAGTGCACATATATGGAGTTGATAAAGGGATCAAAACAGAGATCAAATGGGACCAGAGATCATGGTGTCATGGCCCTGTGTGGGGTGAACGACAAGAAGCAGAGTGAATTCTGAACCTGGGCCTGCAGTTCACTTCACTGCAGCAGGGGGGAGTGTGATGTGGTCCTTAGGAGAATTAAATCCACTAGTCACATAGTTTCCCTGTATCAGAAAAAGAATTAGGAAACAGAAATTCTTAAAGGCTTCGTTTAGTTTGACCAAACCAGAGAAAGAAATGCTCTTGGTTCCCACCTTTTCAGAGGCACTCATATAATTCTATAGCCAAGAAGAACAGTCAGGGAATATGCATGTGCTAATTTAATAGGCAGTGAGGCTGGCAGAGCTGCGTGAATCTCTTTTTCTGACTGGCACCAAGATTCATCCTTTCCCTCTCTCAATGTGAGGCTCCTGGAAAAATTTTAATGCGTTGGGGTCTGTTAGTCTGGTAGCCAATGGGAGTGATACCCTGACTCTCTTTAGAGCATCTTGTCTCCCATCAGGGTCAAAGTCCCAGGATGGTTGAGAGTGAGAAAGAACCAATAGCTAACATAGAAAATCCAAGGGGAGGGAGGACCACTAATGATCATCATCAGTCATCAATGCCCGTGTAAACTGATGAAAACAGCACAGGAACTTGTTTGTTATTGTCAATACAAATTTTTAAAAATCTGAGTGATGGTGCTGGGGATGTAGTGGGCTGTGGAGTGCTTGGCTGGAACATGTGAAGCCTTGGATTCCATCCCCAGCATGGTGGCTCATGTCTGTAATCTCAAAACTCGGGAGGTGGAGGCAGCAGGATCAGATGTCAAAAGCCACCCTCAGCCTCAAGGAGAGTTCAAGGCTATCCTGGGCCACTTGAGACCCTGCCTCAACTCTGAAACCCTCCCCCCCAACCTCCCCAACAGAAAGAAATGCTGCTTGCTGTGACTGTTGTCAGGGCAACATAAATCCTTCCCATCTGTATTCCCTACGACTTTCACATTTCTCTCACAGGATGGCAGATTATCGAAGGATGGCTTAAGGTACTCAACATTAGGCTAGGGTTAAAGAATGGAAAGTTGTAACACTGCCTCCCTGATGCAGAGTGGGCAGCAGCCTTCAGAAGGAGGAGGGGATAGAACTGCCTAGGGTATCGGCCAAGAACACCTTTGGGTGTGTCGATAAAAATGTCTCCAGAGAGGCTTTATCAAGGAGAGAAGACCTAACCCTCAAGTGGGTGGCATTGTTCCATGAGCTGGGATCCCAGACTAAAAGGGAGAAGGGGAGAAAAACAGCTGAACACCACCAGGTGTCTCTTTCAGCTTCATAATCCACCCACGTGTGAGCAAGCAGCCTTCTGCTCCTGCAGCCATAGGTTCCAGCCACTCCTGACTTCATGTCTTCTCCACCATGGACCATAACCTCAAACTGTGAGCTCAAATAAACCCCTTCCTCCCTCAGGTCACTTGTTAGGTATTTGGTCACTACAACGAGAAGAGAAACAAATGCCTAGTGGTATCCTCCAGGCACCGCCACTGTTGAAGCTGAGACCTGAGACCATTAAGGACAATGGTGTGGACTGAACCAAGCATCACCCAGGTGTTATGGTTCCATGACACACCCAGAACTTCTGTTTCCACATGTGTGGGCTCTTGGGAGGCTCATTCTATGAGGCATTCTCAAGTCCTGTGAGATCTGAGTTAAAGGCACCAAGACTTTCCTCTTCCCGGTAAGCAAATATGCCACACCCAGAAGCAAAGTCCAGGTCACCATCCAGTGAGCCCAGCTCATGGGCATATTTCATTTTGCTGATAATTCAGTGCTAAAATTAGGTGACTCTTCACCTTCTCCCTAGTTTTACTGACATTCGAGTATATATAACTGGCATAATCTAAGAAGAACCGCTCATCTGCTGGCCTTCTCCCTAGGTCTAGAGACCAAGAAAATGACCTGAAGTTGAAAAGGAGAAATTTGAGGTAGGATAGTAGGCTATTTGGGGGAGGGTGCTCAGACAAGGAGGAGGAGGAGGAGGAGGAGGAGGAGGAGGAGGACTTCTTTCTTTGGGTCATCCTTGGAAGTTGTTTGAAAGAGACAATATAGCCTCAAATATTATATTCTGTCTGTGTCTGCTTCTGTCTGTCTCCCTCTCTTTCTGTCTTTCCCTCCTTCCCTCCCTCCTGTTCTCTTTCTCTTTCACCATGACATCATTGCAGTCTTGGAAAACTTGGTAGTTAATAAAGACTTGCTGACAAGGTTCCACCTTAAGTGGCTGGTGGTATCAAACAGTGACACCCGTAGGGAACAGTTCAGCAGGAATACATAAAACTCTGGCTGAGTTCTTCCCACCAGCCACACAGCAGAGAAGACTGTCAGTTCGTCCTCAAAGGTTTACTTCCGGCCATGACACCGTGGCCTGATATTTAGCCCTGAACTGTAAAAAGGCTCCACAGAAAACTCCCAAAACAGAATTGGGGTTTGGCTCACCTGCTTCCTCCAGGGTGTATGAAGACATAAAGAATAATTTTAGCCGGCATTGGTGGTGCACACCTTTAATCCCAGCACTTGGGAGGCAGAGGCAGGTGGATCTCTGTGAGTTCCATGCCAGCCTAGTCTCCAGAGTGAGTGCCAGGATAGGCTCCAAAGCTACACAGAGAAACCCTGTCTCAAAAAACAAAACAAACAAACAAGCAAACAAAAAGAATAATTTTAAGTTTAGAAAACACCGACCTGTGTCTGAAATTCCCGCCAGGTTGTGTTTCTTACAGGCCAGGCTCTGGCCTCTCTGATCCAGGGCAGACCTGAAGTCCAGTCCTGAGCCCACTCTATGCTGCTCCAGATCAGCTTCCACTGAGCCCTCTCACCTGCGACTGTCTGGCCTTCAAATGACCCAGTGCAGAGGCCGGTGAGGTGGGGACCATGGTTCCTCTGTACGAGGACAACCAGGAGGACATTTGTCCCATCTGCCTGGATCCCCTGAAGAAGGCTGTGAGCACGGACTGCAGACACCTCTTCTGCCGAACTTGTCTGACCCAGCACATGGATAAGGCCTCTGGCTCTGGGGTCTTCAGCTGCCCAGTCTGCAGGAAGCCCTGTTCTGTGGGGGTCCTTGGAGAAGGTTACATCTGCTTCAGCCACCAGAAGAGGGTGTGCAGATTCTGTGAGGCAAGCAGACATCTCCTATGTGTGGAATGCCTCAAGTCCCCTGAACACCAGTCTCACACTGAGCTCTCCATTGAAAATGCCATCAGCCACTACAAGGTAAGACTGTGTCACCCCCACCAGGCCCTGCCACCAGCTCCAAGAATCACTGCTTCTAAGCTCGGTTCCTCACAGAGGCTTAGCGATTGACACCTCCTTTGAGTTTTCTTCATCGTCCAACTTGGAGCCCTGGTCTTTGCTTTCTGTGTGCCTCGTTGCTAATATCAGGATTTCCAGGTTGCTGCGTGTCTATCTAGGTGATCCTGCCACTGTGATAGCAAAGCCCCAGATTTTGTGCTAGATAATTAGAACCATTCCTCGACCAAGATTATATAGAACCCTGGCGGATGGTTCTAGAACCTAGTCTAGACATGCAGTCAAGATTTGTCTGTGATAACAGTGACCTTTCGAAGATCTGAACCCTGAAAACTTGTACACGATGTCCTGTTTCCCCCTTTCCTTCCACTGTTAATTATGATTATCGCATCTTGATTTATTTAAATTTTTTTCTAAAATTGCTTCACACTTTGGGTAACAAGATTTAGGCAATACCTAGAGAATTAAATCTCAAAAACAGAAAAAAAGAATTAAATAGCAAAATTAAAAATATTGCCTCTGGGATGGGAGATAGTTGAGGGTAAAGGAGCTTTATTCTGAGTTCAATCTCTGGAACCCACATGATGGAAGGATGGAAGTGACTCCCACAGACTGTCCACTTACCTCCACACAAGCTCCATGGTGTGTGCCCCCTTCCAAACAAACAGATGTAATGAAAATAATGATTCTTTTTTCCTGTCCTTCCTCATTCTCTGTCTTCAGGGATAACCAGCATTAGATTTCTTTTAATCTATCCTTCCGGAAAAACTATGTTCTCTTGAAAGCAGACACACACACACACGAGAGAGAGAGAGAGAGAGAGAGAGAGAGAGAGAGAGAGAGAGAGA